CGTCGCTTCCTACTCCTGTCACTGACTACTACCGCACGTACCGTCCTGTTCTCTCTCGTGTTCTCGCCTCTCTTGTTACCCACCCTCGTGCCTCTGTGTCCTCTGTGTCCGCTCTTACTGCCGCAGTCACTGAGTTTGTCAGAGGTCCACTGGTGATCCCCGATCGATCCTAGGGAAGGGTTACAGGCATTGCGGCCTGGGGGGTTATGGGCGCACTCACCCGCTACACAAACAAGCCCTTTTATCCCAGTGGTTAGTGGCTGGGATTCTGACATGGTATCAGAGCAAAGGTCTCGGGTTCGAATCCCGGTGTGTGCACTTCGGGCATCCCAGTGCGGGGGGGTGTCAGAGGTCCACTGGTGATCCCCGATCGATCCTAGGGAAGGGTTACAGGCATTGCGGCCTGGGGGGTTATGGGCGCACTCACCCGCTACACAAACAAGCCCTTTTATCCCAGTGGTTAGTGGCTGGGATTCTGACAAGTTTGCCTCTACCCGCCGCCTTGACTTCGCCACCGCTCTTGTGGCTGCTCCTCCTTCCAGTCCTCTGGCCGTCGGGGGTGTGTCTGCCCTTGGCTGTGACGCCCTAGAGGACAGGCAGTTCGAGCTAGAGTTCCTGGCCGCCGCTTCCCCTCATCTCTGTGCCATGCTCCTCGCCCCTGAGGGTGACCCCGACGCCCTTGACATTCCGACTCCTCGCACTTACGCTGAGGCAGTGTCAGGGCCTTGGGCCTCTCAGTGGAGAGCCGCCATGGACGCAGAGATGGCCTCCTACAGATCCACAGGCACCTACGTCGATGAGGTTCCCCCCCTTGGGGCGAACGTAGTCGACGGCATGTGGATCTACAGGGTGAAGCGGCCACCGGGTTCTCCCCCGGTCTTCAAGGCGTGCTACGTGGCTAGAGGTTTCAGTCAGCGCGAGGGAGTTGACTTCTTTCAAACCTTCGCGCCCACCCCGAAGATGACCACTCTTCGGGTGTTACTACACGTAGCAGCACAGAGAGACTACGAGTTACACTCTCTCGACTTCTCTACTGCTTTCCTTCAGGGCAGTCTTCACGAGGAGGTCTGGCTGCGTCGTCCCTCTGCCTTCACTGGCTCTTTCCCTCCTGGGACCCAGTGGAGGCTGAGGCGACCGGTTTACGGTCTTCGTCAGGCTCCTCGTGAGTGGCACGACACCCTGCGTTCTACCCTGTCTGACCTTGGGTTCCAGCCGTCTTCTGCTGACCCGTCGCTGTTCGTTCGTCGTGGCTCCACACCTTTCTTTGTTCTGGTCTACGTTGACGACCTTGTTTTCGCCACTCCTGACAGGGTTGCTTTGGCACACGTGAAGTCCGAACTGCAGAAGAGACACACCTGCACTGACCTTGGTGAGCTGCGCCACTACCTTGGCCTGCAGATCACCAGGGACAGAGCTGCTCACACCATTACACTTTCACAGTCACACATGGTGCAGCAGGTCCTTCAGCGGTTCGGGCTTCAGCACTCCACAGTACAGCGCACACCTCTTGCTGTTGACCACAGACTCACTGGACCCTTTCCTGACGAGCCGTTCGAGCCTAGTGGTCCCTACGCAGAGCTTGTGGGTTGCCTCATGTACCTGATGACTTGTACTCGCCCGGACCTCGCCTTCCCTCTCAGCGTTCTTGCGCGCTTTGTTGCACCAGGGAGACACCGTCCTGTTCACTGGACAGCAGCTGTGAGGGTGGCGAAGTACCTAGCGACGACATCAGGCGTGGGGCTAGTTCTTGGAGGGCAGCAGTCTGTCGTACTTACTTACGCTGACGACGTTGAGACTCACAGGTCTACTCAGGGGTACTGTTTCAGCCTGGGTTCTGGAGCTGTTTCCTGGCGGTCCACGCGCTCCTCTTCGGTCTCGACCTCTACAGCTGAGGCTGAGATCTACGCTGGTGCCATGGCGGCACAGGAGCTGCGTTGGTTGACCTTCTTGCTCACCGACCTTGGTGAGCGGCCGAGCTCTGCACCGACCTTGTTCACTGACAACAAGGCGTCGATTCTCCTTTGTCGAGAGCCACGACTGGAGAGCAGAGTGAAGCACATTCACGTCAGGTACTTTCTTCTGCGAGAGTTGCAGAGGCGTGGACAGGCTCGCTTTGAGTTTGTGGAGTCCGAGGCCAACACTGCAGACATCTTCACCAAGGCGCTTCCGCCTTGTGACCACCAGAGGTGCTGTGTGCAGTTAGGCCTTGTTGACACTGGTTCTCGTGTTGCTTAGACTTGAGTGTACTGTTTACTTTGCTTTCTATATATCTCTGTTACTTCTTGGACTGGCCTTGTGGCCACTGTTGTTTGTGCTCAGACTGTGTGGTGACGTTGTGATCCACCCTGAGCTTCGTTTCTTGGACTGGTCTTGTGACCGTACTCGTTTGGTTCTGCTAGACACCCCTCACTTAGGCTATGGGGGTGTGTCAAATGTTGTAGCCTATAGTGAGGTTTGTCTTAGGGGGTACAAAACTTAGGGTTAGCTATATGTACCCCAACCAACATCAATGCATCATCCATTCTTCATTTTGGCAGAAAGCTGGTTAAAAGACAAATGAAGACGGCATAAAACAATGATGGGATTCGAGGAAAGAACATCAGAATGTAATACGAGAACACGAAGAACAAGGAAAACAATATGCTGATTAAGAGAATTCTCTAAGGTACAACTAGGGGAATATATGTTATGCAAAGTAGTGAGCAGGAATCGGAAAGTGAGAAGCAAACGAAAACTATGATTCAAGGAACGAGAAAACATAGCAATAGATGAAGGAATATGAGACATCAGGAAGATGGTAAGAGATGCTGGATAGTGAACATACCTTGTATGTAGAAACGATAGTAGCCATCACACAATTTCCCAACAGTATCATTTGAATGTACTGATGGAGAAAGGGCGAGCTTCAAGAAAAGGGGGAAGGAAAGAGGGGGAGGGGGGGAGCGGAAATGGGGGGGGGGGGGGGGGGGGGGGGGGGCGGGGAGGGATAAACACAAAGGGAAAGAAAAGTAATCAGATAGTTACAGATAATGAACGGACCAATTGAGAAATTAGGCCTTAAGCAACGATACTACGTCAGATCGGAGGAATAGGAAGGTTCTAAACCGAAGAAGAGTTAAATGTGAACGAAATCATGCAAATACGAGGAAGTAAGTATGTAACCAACGCAAGAAAGTAAGGGTACATTCTTGCTGGAAGAAGAGCAAAAGAAACAGTTGCTGGATTGTGCAGGAAGAAACGTAGCACCTAATACAAAGAAAATTTGAAGTCTGTACAAAGGACTTAGAACCTACGTTCCGTTCAATCCTTTGAACGATTAGATTAAGAGACTACGAAAGGTTAGTCTACCTAAACTTAGTTCTAGTTTATAGCTTAGGTACCTTCTCACCTTCTGGTAGGTGGAGGGTGACTGGTTGGCGGCTGTGAAGAACCTAGATCAACGTGAAGAAATGCGAGAGAAAAACAGGAATATGGAAACCCTAGTCCAGGTCGTCGCGTCTAAACGTGACGAATAAACTATTTTTTGGCATATGGAATGTCAGTGGTAGCGCAGTGGTTAGAGGTAGCTTTCGGAAGCGAGAGATGGCAGATTCGAATCTTGCTTGTGGCTGTTTGCAAACCTCAACCAAAGATGCTGAGATTCATACTTGGTACAAGTGTTGTGCACAGTAAGATAGATAATCATGTAACACACAATCCATAATTAATATTAGAAATTGAATAACATAAGCTGTTTGTGACAATTGCTTCGCAACCATACGACGACTTTGTCGCCTCTTGTTTTTTGTTTTTTTTGTTTTTTTTTTTTTTCGGAACATTTCAGTAGATGATCAAAGATAGCAATATATATGTAATTCATCTAGTGTACAGAATTCTTGTATCGTAATTCATTAACGCACGCCCGCCTCTTCCCTGCTCATGGTTCAGTGAGTTGATCGATCATAATGCCAAGCCATGTCAGGCAGGTAGCAGTAGGCCAGAGCAGGCAGCAGCAGCGACGATGGCAGCGAGCAGCAGCAGTGCGGCCCAGTCACGAGCATGCAGAGCAAAGTGGGCGAGGAAGTAGAGGTGGTGCGTGGCGGGGTCGCCTGAGTACCCCCGCGCTATCATGGCCTGGCAGGCAGGTGGACATGGGGGGAAGGAGAGGTCGCAGCGGGCATGATGGAGAGCGGAGGGAGAAAGGAGATGACAAGCAAGCCGGGGTCAAAGTGGAGACAGCGAGGCACGCAGTGAGGGCAGGGTGGAAACGAAGCGGAGGTGCGTAGCAGTGGCGCTTTGTGGCAGCCGTGTTTGGTGTGGAAGAATTCAAAGGCCAAGGTGAGGGAGGGCGTGCGAGAGTGAGAGGGGGCGGGCGGAGGAGGGAGGAGGAGGAGGAGGAGGAGGAGAGCAGCACCTGTGAGATCTGGTCGGCGTGCGTGAAGAGGTTCTGGAAGAGGCGCCCCGCTAGCGACAGCACCACTGCCGTGCACCGTGCATGGGGTGGGGAAATGCATGGATCGGGAAATGCATGGATGGGGAAATGCATGGATGGGGAAATGCATGGATGGGGAAATGCATGGATGGGGAAATGCATGGGTGGGGAAATGCATGGGGTAGGGTCGGAAACGAGTGCATGACATCAGACCAAAACAAGCACATTAATATCATCTAGGCAGCAAGGGAAGAGGATGGAGCAAGGAGGATAAGGGAGAGAAGCAATTGTGAAGAAAAACAGCAAGGATGGCAAATGAGAGGCAAGCAGGCATTGGGATGTGAAAGGCCAGGAAGTGGCGGAAGAGGGCGTGGGTGGCCATGGAAAGCAGAAATGACACCATATTGCATGGTACATAATGTACACTTCGTTGCCACCACACATAACTACACACCAACAAGAACAGAAGAGGCACCAAATTAATATTTGGTTAACAACACGAGGTGGTCCATGATTTCGGTTTCGCTTTTTTGTTGTGGTAATCTTCAACAGGCAGCACAGGCAGCACAGGCACGAGAGCGGGGGAGCACTAACAGTCGAGTGTGGCGAGGGGTTGCAGCTTGCTCCAGTGGATGCCACGTGCCACGGTGCCCAGTGCCAGTGAGCGCAGCTCATCGAAGACGAGGCCCAGGAAGCGCAGCGACAGCAGCAGCGTGAGGATGGCCGCCTCCACGCCCACTCCCACCGCCTTGAGCGGCGCCATGCCCCACCGCAGCGCCCCCGCCATGGCCTCGGGGCTCGTTGTGATCAGACTCACTGCTGCCGCGTGCACCACCTGGGGGGGGCAGGGGGCAGGGGGCGGGGTGAGCGATGGAGGTGTGAGCGTGGGGCTGTGGGGAGGAGTGGATCAGCAAGGCTTCAGCAGGAACAATGATGGGGGTATTCAAGTTAAGGGTGCACGGGGTCTAGCTTGCATGGCACGAGACCGAATAACGGAGGACAAGCAGAGCCAAAAACGAGCAGCAGGGTGCAAAGATGAGGTGAGGGATGGTGGAGGGGGAGGGGGGGCGGGCGCACAATGAAGGAGAGTGAGGCGGCCATGGCAGCGAGCTTGGCGGCACGGCGGGTGAGCAGCAGCGGGCCGACGTGCAGCAGCACGTAGCGGTAGGTGGAGGGCAGCAGTGGCGCCATGGACGCCGCTGCACCCAGTGCTGGCGACAGGGAGGCGGCAGCAGAGGAGGCGAGGGCAAGGGGCTCGAGGGCGAGGGGCAGCGGGCGCGGCTGCACGAAGGCTGGCACACCGTCGGTGCTGAAGGCGAGCCCCAGGAAGATGAATGCCGTGACCAGCAGCGACCGCCACAACTGCGCCTGCCGTGTGGGGCATGTGGGGTGGCGTGAGGGAGGAAAATAGGGCTTGATGTGCTTGCAGCGGAGGAGGAGGAGGAGGAGGAGGAGGAGGAGGAGGAGGAGGAGGAGGAGGAGGAGGAGGAGGAGGAGGAGGAGGAGGTGCACAAGTGAAGAGAAAAAGCGGCTTTGGGAAGATGGATGTGTGCGGGAACGAGGGTGTGATGTGGAACAGAGGCAGGCGTGCACGGTACGGTTGTGGTGGGTGCACGCTCACCCGCGCAATGGAGGCGGGCAGGGCGAGCAGTGTGAGGGCGATGAGGAAGGCGCAGAGGGCCAGGCGCAGGTCGAGACCCGCCCGCGCTGGCAGTAGCACGAGCAGCAGCAGCCACAGCTGGGGGGGAGGCGAGGGGCATAGGGGGTGTGGCAGGGAAGCGGGGTGTGACAAGTGAGTGTGAGGGAGGTACAAGGATGAGTGGGGGGCAAGGGGGGTTGGGAGGCAGAGGGGGGCGTGCATGCATGGTGGGGGGACAGCATCATACGCCGTCGCCTCACTGCCTCTCTCTCCCTCTGCCTTGCTCCCTCTGCCTCTCTCTCCCTCTGCCTTGCTCCCTCCCAACCATTTTTCCTTCCACCCTTCCCACCGTTTACTCCTCAATCCCAACTCGCTCCTAATCGTCAGCATCTGTTCTCACCTGTTTAACCCGCGGGTCTAATCGGTGCAGAACGGTGACGGGTTCGGCAATGAACGAGCCGATGGGCGCGGAGCTGCTGTTGACGATGCCGCTCATCACGCGCTCGCCCAGCGACTCGCGCCCGCGCCACGCCCGCCACTGCCACCAACGCCGCTTCTCACCCGAACCCGATGGTTCCGAATCTAACGAGTCAGGCTCGGCAGGACCTTTGGCGGCAGCCCCCTCCGGCAGCGGCGTTGCGCCGCCCTGATCGCCAGCGCCCGCTTGCGCGGCCCGCGCGGTCACGCATGGCTGGCGGCGGCGGCGTAGAGCCTCGGCGGGAGAATGGACGACGGGGGATCGGAGGGGGAAGCGCGAGCGGGAGCCGGCGGAACAGAGGGAGGAGAGGCGCGAATCGGATCGCGACGCGCGCGCACACGCACGGGCGCAAGTACCCTCGCACTCAGGCTGGCCGGCGGGCTTAGAGAAGGGGTTACGGGCAGGCGTGGATGCGCGGCGAGCAGCGACGGACGGTGGAGAGGCGGGTAATGGCAGCGGCTTCCACGCTGCGGCGTGCATTGCGAGCGTGATGGAAATCGTATCAAGCTCAGCTGGTCGTATTGGGAAAAAAAATTGGGAAAACATGGGACTCAACTGACGTTTCTCGTAAAATAGTTACGCGTTCAGTTAGTGTATTGAGTTTTATGATGGGTTTGTGTTACGGGTGCAATGGAACTAGATAGCGAGGATTGCACTACGTGTCAAAACGACTACAAAGTATGAGCGAAGGCATGAGCGAAAATGCAAACGGTAACGCGGTGCGTGCGAGCTAGCTAGTGCTACGATGGCATCGAGGTTCGGGCTAGTCCTGAAGTGTATGCCGACACGGCCCGGCCAACAGTGCATGGTTTGGTGAATAGTGCACGCGAAGGTTTGCGAAGCCCCCCTAGCAGTAACGGGCGAACAACGGCTGCTGCTGTACGCAATGTTGGAGAACGCATTAAAACCCGTGGGTCAAGAAAGGGAAATTTGGTTCATCCTTCCTAACGTTGGTTGGGTGTAACCCGGTTGCCAAGGAGGGAACGAATGTACACCCAACCTTGGTCGTGAACTCAACCCAGGCGACATCTCTGTCGCAAGGACGACAACCACTTTGGCACAGTTTGCTGGGCGACAATGCTGGCCAAAGCCAACCTCCACACACATGCCTACCAGAAACCTATCCCAAACTTGCCAGCATTTTTTCCCGAGTTTCTTATGTTAAACTGTATTATGCTTGTAGGCTGTAGTGGGGTAGCCAATATGGGGTACAACCCCAACTAGGGTTTCACATTTGTACCCAAACTTCTGCTAGTTCATTCATTCTTGCCTAGTGATTCTGATATGGTATTCAGAGCAGGAGGTCCCTAGGACCTACCGACCGTTTTTTTAGGGCCCACCACCGCTCGCATGCGGTTACCACGCTACCCCGTGCCCTAGCCTCGTAGCGCCCTCGTGCGCCCTCGTTAGCGCCCTCGCGCGCCCCTCGTTAGCGCCCTCGCGCGCACCCTCGTTAGCGCCCTCGCGCGCCCCTTCGTTAGCGCCCTCGCGCGCCCCTTCGTTAGCGCCCTCGCGCGCCCCTTGCTAGCGCCCTCGCGCGCCCCTCACTAGCGCCCTCGCGCGCCCCTCGCCGAGCCGCCCGCTCGCAGCCCGCTCGCCTGCCCGCTCGCTGCCCGCTTCGCGGCCCGCTCGCTACGCAGCCCGCCCGCCCGCTCGCTGCCCGCTTCGCGGCCCGCCCGCTTCGCAGCCCGCTCGCTCGCTGCCCGCTTCGCGGCCCGCCCGCTTCGCAGCCCGCTCGCTCGCTGCCCGCTTCGCGGCCCGCCCACTTCGCAGCCCGCCCGCCCGCTCGCTGCCCGCTTCGCGGCCCGCCCGCCTCGCAGCCCGCTCGCCCCGCTGCCCGCTTCGCGGCCCGCCCACTTCGCAGCCCGCCCGCCCGCTAGCTGCCCACTTCGCGGCCCGCCCGCTTCGCAGCCCGCTCGCCCCGCTGCCCGCTTCGCAGCCCGCCCGCCCGCCCGCTGCCCGCTTCGCGGCCCGCCCGCCTCGCAGCCCGCTCGCCCCGCTGCCCGCTTCGCAGCCCGCCCACTTCGCAGCCCGCCCGCCCGCTAGCTGCCCGCTTCGCGGCCCGCCCGTTTCGCTGCCCGCTCGCAGCGCCGCCCGCTCGCCCGCTACCTGCTTCGCAGCGCCGCCCGCTGCCTCACTGCCGCTTTCTCCTGTCCCCTCTGCTGCTGCCGCTGCTCTGCTGTGCCCTCACGCCTGAGCTATGGCCTCTATTCGCGTTCTTTCCTTCGATGCTGAGGGCCGTCCCGTGCAGTTCACTTCCTGGCTCGACGACCTGCAGTTGTATCTTATGAGCAATAGCACGGACCACATCTCCCTCTATGACTACGCGTCTGGTGCTGCCGCTGCTCCTGCTGCCACAGCCGAGCTTAGTGTTCGTTCCCACTGGCAGACTCGTGACGCAGCTGCTCGCCTAGCCATTCGCAGTCACCTGCCGCTAGCTGAGCTCGAGCATTTTGGCGACTGCAAATCCGCTAAGGCCCTGTACGATGCTGTCGTTGCTCGCTACTCCTCGCCTGCCACAGCCGAGCTTAGCCGCCTCATGCTGCCGTACCTGTTCCCCGATCTGTCCACCTTTACTACAGTCGCCGATCTTATCACCCACCTTCGCACTAGTGATGCTCGCCTGCGTGCCGCCCTTCCCACCGAGTTCTGCGCTAAGAACCCCCCTCCACTGTACTGGACACTCCACTTCATAGTCACCCGTCTCCCTGACACCCTCCGCTCAGTTCGAGACCACTTCCTTGCTCGCTGTCCCACTGAGCTCACAGTCGCCCTCCTAGAGGAGCACCTGCTCGCGGCCGAAAAGAGCATTGTAGCTGTCGGTGCTGCTCGTGGCGCTCCTCGCACCCCCATCTTTGAGGGGTGTTCTCCCTCTCCCCTCGCTCCCTCCTACGCTGCTGCTGCTGCTGTTGACTTCCTTGGTGCTGAGTCTGTTGGCGCTGCTTCTACTCCTGGTGGGAGGCGCCGCACCGGCAAGGGCAAGGGGGGCAAAAGTGGTGGTGGTGGCGCTGGGGGGGGAGGAGGTGGGGGAGGTGGGGGGGGAGGCGGTGCTGGAGGGAGCGGTGGCGGGAGCGCTGGTGGGAGTGGGGTCGGTGGTGGAGGCGGGGGCGGCGGAGGAAGCAGTGGCAGTAGTGGCGGCGGCGGCGGTGGCGGCGGTGGCGGTGGTGGCGGTGGTGGCGGTGGTGGCGGTGGCGGTCGGAGCGGTGGTAGTGGTGGCGGCGGAGGTCGGAGTGGAGGCACTGGCTCGGGCCAGAGCTCCCAGCAGCAGCAGCGTCCCCAGACGACCCAGCAGCTTCGTGAGTGGCTTGCTCAGCGTGGGACGTCGGGGGCCAGTGCCCGCTGTTCTTATGTCATTCGCACAGGTGACCGCAAGGGACAGACGTGTGGGAGGTTCCACACCCCGTACCGCTGCTTCTCCCGCCTTGACGACGCTTGGCGTGAGGAGATGGGTGCGGATGTTGAGCGCCCCCGCTGGGCTGAGCTCATGAGGGCTGGTGTTGATGTCTTTGCTCTTGACTATGATGCTATTATTGCTGCCATGTATGCATTGACTGTTAGTGCCGAGGGAGACTGTTACTTGTGTGTGCCGCCTGACCCAGGTATAGAGCCCGCTGCCCTGGGTACTAGTGAGTCTGCTCTCTCTGGTATGGTGCCCCCTGTACTTGCTCCCCCCAGTGCTGTCCCGGCTGGTTTCGAGTCTGCTCTCTCAGGTACAGCACCCACAGAGACTCCTCTCTCAGGTACCGCACCGGCTGAGGCCTGTCACACCTTCACCCTTGACTCAGGTGCTTCCCGTTGCTTCTTTCGTGACAGTACTGAGCTCACACCGCTTCCTGCACCGGTCCCAGTCTCCTTGGCTGACCCCTCTGGGGGCCCAGTCCTTGCCCAGTCCACCACTGTCCTCCCTTGTCCGGCGGTTCCGTCTGGCTCGTTGTCGGGTTTCCACCTCCCCTCGTTCTCGACGAACCTGGTGAGCAACGCTGTCCTCCAGGATCAGTGGGTTGACACCTTTACCCCTGGCGGACAGCGTGTGGCGATCTGCACGTGCTCCAGGACCGGCCGTCACCTGGCTACGTTCACCCGTCGGCCGGGGTCGAGTCTCTACACACTGACCACTGCGTCTCCCCAGGTAGCTGCTGTCGGTCAGGTGTCTGCGTCAGGTCTGGTGGCCCACGCCTGTGAGTGTCGTTCCCTGTCGCACCAGACTCTTCTCTGGCACCACCGCCTGGGTCACCCCTCCTTGCCACGCCTTCGTGGCATGCACCGTCGCCTCCTTGTGTCCGGTCTTCCCAGGTCCCTCCCTCCCCTCCCTGCCTCGCCTGCGCCGCCTTGCCTTCCTTGCGTCGAGGGGCGGCAGCGCGCCGCTCCTCACTCCTCCTCGTTCCCCCCGACAGAGGCTCCTCTGCAGACCCTCCACCTGGACGTGTGGGGCCCAGCCCGCGTTCGTGGTCAGGGCGGTGAGCGGTACTTTTTGCTGGTTGTCGACGACTACTCGCGTTACACCACGGTCTTCCCCTTGCGCACCAAGGGTGAGGTCCCTACTGTTCTGATCCCTTGGATCCGCACAGTTCGTCTCCAGCTCCGCCGCCGTTTCCGGACGGATCTTCCTGTCCTGCGTCTGCACTCTGACAGAGGTGGTGAGTTTTCCTCCGATCTCTTGAGGACCTTCTGTCAGGCGGAGGGCATCGAGCAGACCTTCACGCTTCCGGACTCCCCACAGCAGAATGGGGTTGCTGAGCGCCGCATTGGCCTGGTCATGGAGGTCGCTCGTACCTCCTTGGTCCACGCGGCGGCTCCCCATTTTCTGTGGCCGTTTGCTGTCCGGTACGCCGCGCATCAGCTCAACCTCTGGCCCCGTGTCTCCTTGCCGGAGACCTCGCCCACACTGCGTTGGACGGGGGAGGTTGGCGATGCGTCGCGCTTCCGGGTGTGGGGTGCTCGTGCCCTTGTCCGTGATACGTCCGCGGACAAGCTCTCCTCCCGCACGCTTCCCTGTGTCTTCCTTGGCTTTGTCCCTGACGCGCCTGGCTGGCAGTTTTACCACCCCACCTCGCGCCGGGTCTTCGCCTCTCAGGATGTCACCTTTGACGAGTCGGTCCCTTTTTACCGTCTCTTCCCCTACCGCACTGCCCCCCTCCCTCCCCCGCCGCTTTTCCTTGCTCCTGGTCCCCCTCCGGTAGACCCCCTTCCCCCTCAGGGTCCTGCTCCTTCAGGTGTCTCTCAGGTAGACCCTCCTCCCGTCGCTGAGCCTGTCGAGGTCACAGGTGACTCAGGTGCTGCTGCGGGTGGTGCTGCTGGGAGTGCTGAGCCTGGGGGTGCTGAGCCTGGGGGTGCTGGGCCTGGGGGTGCTGGGGCTGCAGGTGCTGGGACTGAGGGTGCTGGAGCTGAGGGTACGGTGCCTGAGAGTATGGAGCCTGGGGGTGCTGCGCCTGGGGGTGCTGAGCCTGCGGGTGCGGGGCCTGGGAGTGCTGGGACTGCGG